GTTTTCTGTATTGTCCGATCGAGTCTACATGAGGCGCAGCGAAGGCTATTCACAGTTAGTCCTGGAGCTACCTCCGAGTTAATTCCGAGTTAGCCAGCAACCAGTCAGTTGTATTGTGGCATTTGGCATGTACTATTTGTGATACTGCAGATAGCAGTAATCGTAAATCTGTAATTTGGGTGATTGTAAGTGCGAATGTGAAATAAAATTCGCTACATCAAATACGGTGTGAAGTTATTTGTCACGATATATGCCCAATACGCGACAATATATTTTGGAGTTGCTGCTAATACGTTTATTAAGTTCCATCAAAATTGGCTAGCATTTCAGTAGTGTTTATGGTTTTTAATGAACTGGATTACAGTGTGGTGAGTTATTGTGTATATTTGGTGTTTATAAACGTACATCAAGCAAGACATGTGCTTCTAGTTGCATTGAAATTTTTTCACTTGGTATGTGAGAATGAATATTAACCACTTAACAATCTAGAGCTTTTTCAGTGTATTGTAATACTGTAGTCTAAATTATTTTTGCTAAGTTTACAGTTCACAATTGATTTATTTCAAAATAAATAATTTTTATTTCCTGATGTTCAAAAATATGAACTGTTCATGAAATTAAAAAGGTTCGACTGACAGCCAGCAGATGAAATGAGTTCTCACATAAGAGCAAAACCCACAGCAGAACAGAGTACCTAGTGTGCCTCATCAATGGATCCAGTTGAATGAAACATTTGTTGATTCACCTTGACACTGAACAAGAAAAGGTTAAGAACGTCACTGTTAGCATGAACAAAGAAATAAGTGGTGAAAGATGTTTAGACATCACCCAAGCAGTTTTATGTGGATGAGGGATTCATTTTAATTTGACTGTGAAAACTAGTTATTGGTGCAACAGCAACGCAGATACGGATTCTTTTCACATCCCTAGTTAAGCGTCAGGTCATGTGCAAAAGGGATGACTGGCTCATGTTGCATCAAGGATAAGTGATATTGAGTTGGGTGACCATGTGGCTCTGCTGAATACTCACTCCTAGGCTAGTCAGGACTGGACTCCATTAGGTTTTTTTTTTCCTTGTCACTACAGCCCCAGTGGGCCTAGGCCTACCTCCATGAACTTCTCCTTTCACTTCGGTTTTTCTAGATCTTACACATTCGGTAGGACTCCTTGGGTGGGTGATCAGCTCATCGCAAGGCCTCTACCTATACACAAACTCAGAAAAACGCGCGCGCGCACACATACACATACTCATACTTAACTTCCATACCCTGAGTGGGATTCGAACCCATGATTCCGGTTTCCAAGCAAGCGAAGACAGTACATATCTTAGACCGCTCGGCTACCATGACCAGCTCCATTGGGTATACACATTGTGTATATATAAGCAAAATTGTGTCAGTCATCACATAATTTGTATTTGTGTTTAAGGTGTTGTCTTTAAGTTTTGTATGTCATAAGGAATTATACATTGCAGGGGAAGTTATACAGTAAGCACAGTTTTCTTGAAAAATTAAAAATCATTGCTTCTGTCATTAATGGCTGTTTATGTGGTAGGTAGGAGAAGATGAAAAAATTAGTAGAGTGAAAGGGCAGTGGACCCGGCAGGAAAGTGAACCTATTCCGGTGAAACATCCTCCAGACATACGCGCCAATGGCAGCTGTAGTGGTGCCTCCACACCCTCTACTATTAGTCCAGGAGAAAACACCATTCTTGAAGACGAACTGACTAAAGTAGGTTTACAGATCTTTTGCTTTAGCATAATGGGCTTTGTCCAGTGCATGCTGTGATGGGAATTGATCTGTACCTATTCTTCAGGTGACTGCATTTCATGCTAATGGTTCATCTTTTGCATTTTCTTTGTACAAAGCATATTAATTTACTGCATAATAGGGAGCCCCCTGTGTCTATCTGCATGATTCATCTCTGAAACTACTTGAAAAATATTGATCAAATTTGGCATTGAGGGATCTATATTGAAAGTGGCCAGGCAGACATGTTAATTCATATCAGTCAAATATGAACCCTCTAAGGGAAGGCATGCAGAATAGAGGTAACTGCTAAACAGATGGGCAGAGGAGACTTCTGTCAGTGACTTAGGTATAATATGATAACCTCACAGATCCAATTTATGTCACCTTGATTGCTACAAGAAAGGAAATTATTTAGTCATTAAAAGCCTTTAATATGGCTGTATCATGTGTCAGACATTACAGAAATTTTTTGGGCTTCGCTAATGGACAAAATAGTACTGTTTTATTTGTGCATTTACTGCATGTGTGAGAATACAGGTCATCTGTCACTTTGAAAGTACTTCATTTACTTAAAGCTACCTCATTATCTCAAACATTTAATGTTGACTGAATTTGAAAGTACCAACAGTTCTTCAGAGATTCTGGTAAACTGTGTCCTGTCAATATGCTAAAGGCCTAACATAGGTACATTTCAGACAATATCATGTCAAGTGATGAGTAACGCCCTTCATCATGGCACCAAAACAGTGTTGGTGGTTCCTGTTCACCTTCTGTTTGTCTAGTTGGAGAACTACATGGAAATGCTCTGAGTTCCCAAGCCAGATGGTCTGCCAGTAAAGGAATGGACAACCCTAGGACCTTTTTTTGCTTGGAGTTTCACAGTTTGATCTGAAAATTTGTATCGTTAAAATACAAGTAAAACTAAAGTACAGAATATTGGTGTAGAATCTGCATTATCTACGTGCAACAATCAGAACTGAATAATGGATGTCTGAGTGAGGTGTACATGTAAATCATATATTTTGTTCTGGTACTCAAAAACTCTAAGTAGATGTCACCAATAGCAGTTCCATATCATTTGTCTTTGACCTGTTTCCTGTCATTCATAAGCAGTGAATGTAGCAATCTGCGAGTCAGTCCTTTGTGTCACACCACATGTAAACAGTTCATATGTAGTTTATATTTTGGTGAATCTTATTACATCATGCACAATTTCAGGCAATTATTCTCCAGGAGCATTTGGAATGGAAGAATATGGAAAGAAAAAATTCTGATAGAGAAGATTACGTAAGACTCTCGAAGGCAACAGATGGTATGAGACCTATTCATGGGAGGTAAGATGTGGGTCAGAAAGATGCATAATCCTTAGTGATGGTTGCTTTGCTCTGTATCAACACTGGTATGAGTTGAAAGCCTAGACTTGCTGCCTGGTTATGGTAAACATCAATAACTGGTCTGTATGCTTTTTATAATGTCTTTAATGTAGTGGTGATGGTGCTTATTTGTGTCTTAACAGTTTTTATAATCTTAGTAATTAGTTACTGGGTAGAGAGTGTTCTGTGCTATAATAAAATCATAGACGTTTTCTAGACTTGTTTCTTGGTTAAATTATGTTGACACTTCCCAAACATTCCCTTTGCCAGTAAAGTGTGCAGTAGGTGGAAAAATGGGCGGTGTGTGCTGTCTTTGGCTGTTGCTTCCTGTTATGAACTGAAAAGTCTTCTCAATGTGCAAGTAATAATTAGTACGCCTGAGTGACTGTGTTTCCTTGACATTAACTTCAGAACTTACTCTAATTTGTACTCTTGGTTCTCAACAGACTTTCCATTCATGAGAAAATTATGGTGGCAAAAGTGTTAAAGAACTCTGAGCTAGTTTAAAAGACTTATAATTTTATATTTTAGCATCCTGTTATGATGTGATTAATTAATATTATTATTTCATCTCATTTCATTGCACAGATTTTTTTAATGCCCTAAGGCATGTGGTTTCTCTTCAGACTGTCACTTACATTCACTTGTTAGCACTGTTAGTACAACAGTTGCTCACCACTGACCATCAACATCTTGATGTTGCCTGTGAGGTCATACACTATTAGTGTTTATATTCCATTGTCTTTCATTGAAGCTGAAATATTAATTAAAATTAAAGTTAGAAGTATATATCTGTTTTGTCTTGGTTTTCCTCTCATGTTACTTAGCTGAAATGTATAATATTTGGTATTCTACTAACATGGAAGAGTATGTCATAATGTATGGGTATGTACTTGTAATATTCGTTGTTTGATGGATGGGGATTGTGGAGATGTGTGAAGTTTGTGATTTTGGTTTTGCTGTCTGTTGTAAAGTTTCATGTACTGGATTGTAAGTGTGTATATACATGTCATTTATGTGTAAATTATTCTTGTTGGCCAGATAAATGTGATATTTCTCTAGGCTGTGTACACATTTTCCCTTTCTCCCTGTTTCTGTGATGTCTTCGGTGTTTGTTATGGTTCCATATATTTTTAAACAGCCTAAAGAAATACAACATTTATGAAACCAGCAATATTGACGCTCATATATACACTCACAATCCAATATTTGAAGCTTTACACCAGATAGTAGCACATGCCAAAATCCAGTTATAAAAAACTTCACATGAGAAAATATCTTCAGCCCTCATTCATGAACCAACAGATACCACATGTAACTACATACTCATGCAGTATGATATGCACTTAATAATAGAACAGTACCAAACATTAACGCATAGCACAACTGTACATTTTATCTAATTAACACAAGAGGAAATCTGAAACAAAAAAATAATGCAATCACAACAGGGACCTGAGTAACAAAATAGTGTATCAAAGAGTTCTATCTTCTGGAATATACTGCCATGTAGGCTGTTGAAGAGCTTGCTACCTGCTTCAAGCTATTTTCTTCCATGGCTCATTCTTCGACCTTGAAAATGGGGTGACATGTCCTCCAAAGCATTGTTGGATTTCAACAGACTACATGGCAATACATCCCAGAAGATAGAACTTTTCATAACCACCCCGAGAGAACATCAGATCCTACATAACATAATGTACTAGTTTTATCAGCCTCAAAGTGATAGAAACTTAGAAGATAGCACTCAACTTTAATTTTAATTAATCTTTTAACTTAAACAGAAGACTGTGGAATGTAAATAGTAACAGTGTTCCAGCTCATGGTCACAATGTTAACTGAAACATGCCATACTAACATTGCTGATAAGTAAATGCAAGTGACTGTGGTGAATAAAAACCACACAGCTTCCAAACATTAATGAGAAATTGTATAATGAAAAGGACTGAAAAAATAATACTGATTAAAACTATTTCTTTACCATTATAATGTGTACTAAATTTTATTGAAGTAGGTGAAGAAATTAAATAATCATTTTATTATCTCACCATAATTAAGAAAGTGAAGGGACCAGAATTTAATAAGTTATCTGAAGTGGAAGTACTGAGTCTTGAATATGATGAAAGGTGCTCATCATCTTGAGAACTTTTTATGTAATGGAACAAGGGAGCATTTTAGCCATTATCGCAATAAATGTGGCTCCCAAACTTCCTAGAATGAACAAAATTATAATATTGTTTTCAAGCACAATAATGGATTGTACATTGTTCATGATAGCTTATGCTCTTATTAGCCTTAGGTTCACGGAATATTGAGATAACAGATCTTGAAATGGCAATAGATCTGAATTTTGAAATCATTTGTCATTGCCCATCTCTTTCCCAATGTAATCATGCAGAAACTGTTTCACTGTAGCTAAACTGAGATTCATGATTTCTTCCGAACCTTTAGACCAATTTGAGGGGCAGAATGTAATACCATTAAACTTCAACACATTTCCCATTCTGAAATATTAATTTTGAACATAATTCATAAGAAAATCTTGAAAGATGTGAATTTATATGTAAATTCTGTTTCCTCTCCAAGCTTCATATAGTCACAGGTTTTGTTTAGTAATGACACCATATATACAGCAATCTTATCATTGAAATGCCATAATTAGGTTGACAGTATTTACTGCCTCTATTGCTTATATCATGTTTACCATAATCTGGATTAGGGGTTTCTTATTTTGCTGTCTGAAAATTCAGAGCTTATCTTGTTATTTGTTACTCATAGTACTCTGCAGTATTTTTGATATGGTAGCAGAGGCTTATTGTTTTCTGTGTGCTGCTCTCCATTCAGATTGAGTACACATCATTATACATAGTTGGTCCAGAATCAGTTGACATCTGCCAGTTACATGACTGGATAGGAGGTAGACTGCCTAGATTCAATTTTTTGGTAAGGGTGAAATATTTCTCTCATGTTCACACTATGTGTGGGATACACTTAAGCTCCTCGTCTTTGGTTACTGGGGATATTGCAGCTATAGTATGAAGCTGTAAGATGTAAGGTTACTTTATCCTGGAATTCTGTTCAGTTTCTTTGTGGGTTGTAAGATATGCAGTGGCACTGAAAGACACTAGATCATCCTGTCTGGCAGAGAGCATAGATTTATGGTATACAAGCTGAGGTTTCCATGTGCAGCTATAAGATTTAATGTTGTCACAACTCGGAAGTTTACATCTGAATGGACTGGAAGTGTTTGGCAATGAAGTGCTGAGCAGAATATTTGAACCTGAAAAAGGAAAAACAACATGGGGCAGCTGAGAAATGAATACAAAATTTTGATCAGGAAATGTCAAATGAAAGAGGCCATTTGGAAGACGAGGTGCACATGGAAGGATAGTGTCATTCTGAGTCTTAAAGAAACAGGTTGAGAATTTCAAGGTTGATTTATACTGACTCAAAATAGGGTCCAGTGACAGACATTTATTAACATGGGAATGTGATTTTGAGTTACATATAAAGTAGTTAATTTCTTCACTGGCTGAGTATTTATAAACATCTAAAAGAAAACTTAAAACTATGAAATCAGTTTGATCAGAATACCTTGCATTACTTTCCCCATTCTTTGTTATTCCTGTATTTTATTAACAAGTTGGCTGCTGCCTTGTAATTTAAGAATTTCCCTCCAGCTATCACTTGTAATGTGGATTTATAATTTAATCCAAGTTTCTAATGTGGTCACAGGTGACCTTATGTGTATCTTGCCTATTTGAATTGGTTTCTATTGTGTGCCTCCTGCTGGATCACATAGCACGTAAGGTTTACTTTGTGCCATGACAACCAGTGTGTTAATCATAAGAGAGTTTGCTGCAACAGATTTGCATATGTTTGCAGTAGGGAAAGTATGCATGTGCCACCTGTAGACTTACAATTTGAGCATATTACTAGTAACTCATATTTTGTTGCATTGTGTGAATTGCTATAGGTATTTATTGTATTCTTTGTCAGCATGTTATCTTAAGTGGCAATCCCATCTCCTGGAAATGGTGTTGTGTTGACAAAGTATACAATAAATGTTAAGTTCTTAAATACAAATTGTATCATCATAATTCTCGTCTTCTGAGATGTGTACATAGTACACTGTATAGCACACTGGTTACTACTATATGTACCATCTGCTCTAACATTAAAGACTTCTGCATATTGCCCACAGAGTGTATTTGTTTGTATTTAATGATTCCAACAGTAAACAGTGGTTATTTCCCTAAACAGCATTAACTGATGGTCTTTGTAATGGAGGAGAATGTTGTTTCCTTTGGTGTAGAGACTGAATTGCTGAATATTAGTTACATGGCCTTCAGGCTTAGAAGCGTTTAGAATCTATTGCAAAATACTACAGGTATTCAGATATCAAAATTAATTTGTAAGTAACTTTTAAGACCTTGAGAATGATATGCAAACAGCATATAAGGTGATGCAGACTGTAGCCAATCATCAAACATTTAAAAGTCTATCATTTAATTTTAAATATCAATAATGACAGCTGGCACCAACATGTTTTTACAACTGAAGTGTCTGCAGCAGCAGTTTGCTACATCCTGTATCCCCTTGTTCTCATACATTTTACAACAAACCTATGTGCCACCATGATGAAAGACATCCCACTCGAAAGAAGGCCATTTACCATATGTACTTGTTGGTACTAATGTGGTCTGTGATATCTCAGGCTGTAACATAATCATGATTTCATTCTCATTAGAAATATTAGAATTTCTTTGATTTGTTTCATTCTGGTCTGTCACACTAACAGTGTTATAAAAAGATAAAACAGTTCCGTCCAGTGCAACTGGCAAAAATTTTTCTTATTTCAGTTCTTCATGCCCTTACATGTTTCTGTCCTTAGAGACCATCATCAGAGGAACATCAATACTGTTTGGAAACCACTATTACAATAGGTGTTCTGAATGTTAAAATATATATACATACAATGCTGACAATACACAAATGGATACAAAATCCAAAGTTTTCACAACTACAGCAGCTGCCTTGATATGTTAAAATTTTTTTAGTTAAGTTAGAATTTATAAACCAAATAGGTTCGTGTCCTCTCTCTTATCACCTCTCCTGATGAGGGCCAAACTTGTGCCGCCTGACTTTCTTGAGAAGAAGGTGCTTTGATGTCGTCCTGTGGTTGTTTATGGTGTGCTGTGTTGTTCACCAGTCGCACTTGACAGTACTATTTTATCTTTTTATAATTAGAATTTCTCTTTCCATTACTATGTTGTGAACAGCTGTTTGCCACCCACCTATTCACCTAAGCAGTTGGTCTGGCCTCTTTCTGCGGATGATTTGGTACTTGGAAGCTGAGAAAAGCATCAATCAGTAGTATTGAAATTATGTCAGTAGTAAGCATTATAAAGATTTTATTACTTATTTTTCAAATAGATTTTAGTATGAATGTAAACAATGTGAAACTGCTGTTCTTGTATACTATATTATTTGGAGGTCCCCATTTCGCATCTCAGCCAAAATTCTGGCTGTCCTAACAGGGTTTAATGTGATTCTCCTTAGGCTATCCAGGCAAATGCCAGTGTAGNGATTCAACTGATGTATCCAAAATTGAAAATAAATGTTTATTTTATATTTTCAAACATAGGAGACCTTACTTTTGGAATTACCCTCATATCTTGATATAGGCAATAACTTCGTCCTTCCCAATTGTTATGTGCTCATTGTTAATTATCCTTTAAGAGCCTAGCGACACCGTATGGAGACCTTTAAATTATAGCCAAGTGGCCGTGCGACACTGTATGGGTACGCGCAGTCCACGCGTACACACAGTGTTTTAAAATCTAATTTTAATATAGAAATTCTTGTTTTACTTACATTATTTTTGGGCACCAGCTTTATAAGTAGACAGTCTTCCCTCCTGCGTCATCTAACTGAATGTTGCCTTCGTGTGGTACTGTTCGAAACATCCAGAAATGCAGAGTCCGATGTCACGCTTCGTGCACTTTGTCCGGATGTAACTCTGTTTCCCACGCGAAGAGCACACACAGCACCTCAGTCTCTTATTAGAGGAAGTCAGCCAGTGATGTCGTCTGGCCTCCTCTAATTGAGATATCACCGATGACACAGCAGGAGGTCGACCCATGAACCATTGAGGGCAAGGTGGACCCCTTGCAGCATGTTCCAGCATGTTGAGCACAAGGACGAGATGAAATTCTCTGTGTGACAATTTTGCGCCACAGGATGACAACAGGATGAAACTGTTCAGAATCGTCAGATCCAGGAGATGGAAAAATAGTTTATTTGTCCATTTCCAGGTCCAATGACTGATTCTGTAACTGTTTGCCATTCTGTCCGCTTTGTCGACATAACCCATGTGCGTGTTGTAGTCAACAACAATTGCTGGCTTGATGGCATTTCCATGCTCATCACAGAACGTGCCTTCTGCTGGAGGACAGTGCATGTTTGTCAGTATG